GGGGGGGGGGGGGGTCTTTAAGAGGCAGGAGCTAAAACCAAGTGTTTGAGACAGAGGCTGAAAAGAGGAGCAGCAGCGACTTTTACTTGTAACAGAATATTTCCACACTGAGTAAAACATCTGAGGTAAAATACTCCTGAAACTCCCATCGTCCGTTTCAACACTAATGTCCCAAACTCTGTAGCATCGGTGACGGGATGTTGAACCTTGCTCCGCAGGGGTTACTTTGACGTCATGGGCCACTTCGACAGCACCTTCAACTGCTCCAAGGGCAGCTACATCTACTGCTGCGGCACCTGCCACTACCGCTTCTGCTGCGAGCACCAGAGGAACCGGCTGGACCAGGACTCCTGCACCAACTACAAGTCGCCCGTGTGGGCCGACCCGCAGGTCACCGCCACCGTGCCCACCGGGAACAAGCCCGACCCGGACTTCAAGACGCTCCCGCAGCAGAACAGCAGGTGAGAGTCCGAACACACACAAGGATATAATTAGAAAAATAGAATTACAAGTGAAAAGATCTTTGTTCGCTGCCTGTTTCTCTTTAACGTTTGTTTTTTTCTCGCGTCAGCACGGCCTACGTGATCGGAGGTGTGATCTCCTTCACGCTGGTTGTGGCTGTGGGCGTCAGGATCGCCTTCAGCAAGGTGGCGCGTCGACCCCGAAACCGAGACGTCAACATGCCCAGGTGAGACTCGGTCAGACCGCGGAACACAGAGCTACCGTTTGTTTACTTAGTTTTTTAATAAATAACATTTGAAAAGTGTCGACCGAGGTCGTGAACAGACGTCATGTGACACACGTCGCTTGTTTCAATGGAGGGAAGTGGATTTTCATCGAAAACAGAAAAAGTTTCGATAATTTGATCCATTGAGAGTTGAGTGTTAATGTCAAATCCCCGGTTAATAGACAAAGATAAAAGTTTGAGTCTGAATATTCTTCCTCCTCACATCTCTGTCTGTCTCTTGTCTTTCCCTCCTCCTCCTCCTCCTCTCATCCCTCCATCCGTCCTCTGCTGTGTCAGATCACTGGTGGATATCCTGCGTCACCAGTCGAGCCCCGTGCAGCAGGGAGAGCGGAACAACGCGGTGTTGAGCGGCACCACCTCGGACGGACGCACGTCCAAAAACCTCTACACCCCCATCCTGCAGAGCAAAGACAACCGCAGTGAGTGTCCACACGTTAAAACTGAGGAATTCAAAAATGAACTTAGAGTCAGATAAAGTTTTTTTATTCTTCAGGTGAAATGAAGGTTTGAGTCCGTCTCCACAGCATCAAGCTGTTCTCAGACATGAACTCACAACTTTTCTGTCGTGTTCCTGTGGATTTACTTTT